TCCCTATATCCGTTTATAAATTTTTCGGACATCTTCTACTCTCTCGAACGATCTCAGCGATAGCGTTAGCCGTCTCGCTTCCATCCTTGCTTTTGAGTGATATGGCCCACGCGTATTTGCTCAACACATCGATGAGTATGTAGTGGTGACCTCTGTTGAAGCCCGAGTATGGGCGCATCTCAACGACATCAGCCTGCCACAGATCGTCGTATCTCCGGACTATGACGCGCATTCGCGGAAAATTTCTTCTCGCAGGAGCATGCAATTCCTCGACGAGTCGATGTCTCTCGGAGCTAATTGTCTCTCTCTTTTTCTCAGATTTCTTTTTCATGATTCGATACGTAATACACTGAGTACAAGAAAATAATGTATTTTTTCTCACTGATGTTACTCGACTGAATTGTTTCATGGATACGCGATTTAATTTATAATGAGACCAGCTTCGCGAAGTTCCTCGATGATCGACAGCATCTCGTTGTCGTAAGCGTTGTTGCCTGTTCGGTACGAAGCGTCGAGTAATTGTAGACGATCCACCAGCTCGTTGGGATCATCCCAGTGCACGTAATCGATCGCGTTGTCGTTCAATGTCATTGCATGAGGTAATCCCTTTCCAGATTTCTTCTTCTGTTTCTTGGGTGTGATCGACATCAACGGCGCGATTACGTGTTTGTACTTGTATCTCCTATTGCTCAATAATCGACCTTACGAATCATACTTGTGTTTGTGCGCATTCATCACCAACAGCATGCTCTTGTACTTGTGCATATCGTCTTCCGTGTAGAGGGCATCGTCGGGAATTCTCTTGAAAATCAACTCGTAAAGACCAGTGTACCGGAGTGTCGGACGCCGTTGATCCAACGTGTCGTAAGCCGTTCTCCAATGACTGTATCATCGGTACGATTTTGGCATGCGGTGTGAAGGTTGTCGCAATGCACGATCATGTGATCGATCATTGAATTTATGCAGAGTCATGGAACGCTCGAACGTCTCGTTTGCTTCTTCTCCCTCTTCCTCCTCCTCTTGTTCCTCTTCCTCCTTCTTCTCATGTTTAGAGGCAGACGCTGCAGCTTCGTCACGCGACTCTTTCTTTGTCGCGCGCACGCTGGGATGAAATGTCGCAGCGGCTCGATAAGAGGTTTAAAATGTCTGTCCAACGCGATGCCCTCCTCGATTCTAGCGGTCTTCAGAGCGCGTTTCTTGCGGATCAATTCGCTCGTCTTCTCGATCTTCCTCGCGATTTCTTCACGCTCGCGCACAACTGCCATGTTTGTCTCTGGCTAAGTATTGGCAACGACTGGTCACGTTACGGTATCACGAACTCGTTAAATCCTTTTCGTCCGTTTGTGAGCCCACTGTCTTTGTCTATCACTAGAAATACATATTTTTGCTGCCAACAGTCGCGGAACAACGTACAAAATTCGTCGTACGACATCGGTATTCATATGACGTTGTAAACATGTTTTAATTGGTACATGTATTAATTGGTACCGTCCTGTTTGAACAGGATCAGCAAGTTCGCGTTGTCGCGTATCAGATGTTTAGGTATCCTCACGTACGTCTGACAGAGATAGAATAGTCGACGTTCGCGTGGCGACCCATCGAAAAGTATTCTCTCACCGCATCCTGCTTGTCGCATGCCATATTATTAAAGATTAAAATAGAATTTGGACGCGCCTCGCTCGGTGGAACGACGTCTCTGTTGTTGGAGAACGTCAAGTAACCGATTTCGTCGATAAACGTAAACAAATTTTCGAGATATTGATACTTTGGCTGTTGCAACGATTTCGAGTAAACGTACACGTTTTCGAAACGTACACCGTTCGGACTCTCGAGTAAGCTTATGAGAACGTTGGTTTTACCACGCTTCCTGGTTGATTGCTTATCACTATGAATTGCAATGGGAGAATGGGATGGTCCCGTACAACGAGGCGAAATGCCTAATTACGACGGCTGTGTTTGAAGATGATGCTGTCGTGTATGTCAAGGGGCGCGAGAAACGAACGTGGTTATGGAACTTGCTTCTGGACGATGAGGGAGAACGCATGTACATCGAGACCTTGGATGCAGTTTATGAAGACATGGAATCTTTATCTAATCTAGATGTTACTAATATTATACGATGCGGACAATATGTTAAGAATTGCGCCTTACAAAATGTATTAAAAATATATAACTGGTGGTTGCAAAAGAATTTTTTAAATAAAAATACGTTAATGTATTTATTATGTATTTCTTTTCCCTTCCTTTATAATGTATAAACGTTTGTATGAATGTACGTATAAAATATATGTATAAGCATATGAATGTATGTACGTACAAACGTACGTATAAACGTATATATAAACGTATGTATGTATATATAAACGTATGAATGAATGTGTGTATGTATAAACGTATGTATGAACGTACGTATAAATTCGTGACAAAGAAAATATGTAGAAAGACGTGTCACGACATGTTCGAAATTCTTGGAAAGAGGGGGAGGATCTGCCTTCTCTCATCGATTCCAGAAGTATTACGTCACAATTTACGCGAATGCAATCAGTCTTGCGATACCTGCTTGTACGAACGACTGAAAAAATGTACTTCTCTAAAAAGAGCAATGCATCGTATGATGTGAAGAAGGAATATAACATGTAAGTTTCAACGTTCTATACACAAAAGAAACGCTTTTTAACATTATGTATGTACACAGTACGAAGCATCGTGCAGTGCGTTTACTGAGCAGACGTTACGATCTGAGGAATACGAGCTACAAATTTTTGGAAATTGGAATCAACGTTGGCCCACCGAGTTACGTGGAGGTCGCCCTTGGAGATCATCGCGGACACGAACTATCGCTGTCTCTCAAAACGTGGAAGAGCCTCTACGAGCAGCGAGGGAATATTTACAAGATGTTTCCAAACGAATAATTTTAGGATAATTTTATAAGCGTTGGACCGCTAACCGTCAGTGTTTGCATGCTGAACGATGCTACGTCTCGATTCTTCGTTCATACGTATTACGATGACCGAAACAACGCTACGCCGTATGTTTGATTTTAACGGGTGTATCGATGTAACGTTCGAACGATTAGCTCGACTCGGTACGATAGATACCAAGTATATTCTCGAGATTCTCCATCGCATCTGAGAACATCATACGTGATAGCAACATCTTCAATGAACATCAGCTCGTCGATTGCGAACTATTAGCTTTAGTTTTTAACAAGTATGAAAACCAGTGTAATAAGATGTGAATAAAAAATTTTTGTTCGCATATGTATTTTACATATGTATTTTCTTTTACTTCCCATCCTTTGCCTCGACGCGTCAGGAAAAACTGTATTAAAAAATTGTAAAAAAAAGAAACTTGTACTCCATTGATTCTTCCATCCTTTCTTCACTCATAGCACGTTACACGCTCCGTCGCGCGCTCTATCTTTCTCTAACATGCAGGCCTTTATTACCGATGCATTTTTGGAGAAAGAGCGGCGGGTGACGACAAAAAATAAGGACTGGGATCCTATGTTTACGTAATCAATAGCGCTGGAACCTTTTCCCCCCACCTTCCCCGCGTGCCTACGAATACTTCCCGCGCTTCTCTCTAGCCCCATGGGTTAGAATTCGCCTTGCTTTACTACTAGTATTCATTTCCATAAAGTTTGAGAGATTCTAAATTTTGATTTTTAAAAGAGGCTTTTATAAGCCAGTTCTTGCGATTAGTTACGAATTCCTTCGAGGTAATTATCTCCCCTTAGAGATAAGAATGCGTGATACTCCTGTGTGTCATTTACGTTGGCTCGCTAAGTGAAAAAGATTCTAAAATAGAAATGAATATATTTGATTATTTTATTACTACTTGATGATTATTTATTAACCTAGATCTCTCAAGATAGAAATGTATATAGAAAAAGGGTATTGTATAAATTTATATTATTATTTTTGTATATTTCTGTGAGGAATAACATTGGGTCGACGTTCATTTAAAAATTATTATATTTTAATCTTTAGCATTGATATGCAATGAGTTAAAGAATACATTTATTAACTCGTTCCCTTTTTTCTTGTTTCATTTGTTGTTAATTAGAATTGAGGAAAAGAAGACGAAAATAAATGGAAATATAACTATTGTACTGTTATAAATATTGTTACATTAATTAGTTACATATTTTCGTAATCATGACAATATTCTATTTATTATAGCAACTTTATGTTGTAATGTTATGTTCATCAGAGTGCACCAGCTTGGAAATTGTATGTGATGCGATCTTTTAAAGCTAAGTAGAAGTACGTTCGCGTTTATTTTATCGGTGGACATTACAACACGCGTGGTGATTAGGCGAGTGGCAACGAACGAATCTCTTGTCTGGCGAGAAATCGCCGCGTTCGAGAATCGTGTTCTGACCGGTGCGGTGGTCAACGCAGACTACAAAGTGCGTTACCAAAATCCGGACAAATCGAACAATTTCTTTAAACACAATGTTTTTAATGAAAAATTAAATATTACAAAAAATTATTTTATATGAGGGATCCCTGTAGAGCACAATTATTCGATATATCCCCCATTAGCTTGAATGACGGACTCTTTTCTCGGTCTGAAGCGTTCGCACGCACGCTGTAATATAGCACTGTCCATGTCAACGAATGCTGCCTCAATAGCAGTCCTTGATGACATCACATTAGAATGCCTTTTTTTTGTGACCCTTTCAACTACGTAGTAGTCCAAGGAATTTAAATCTAGGCCTATTGGGAGGCCAGAATTTGAGAGTCGAGGCGAACAACACGGCTTGTCCAGGAAGCCTTAGAAAGGCATCTGTCGTGTCTTTAATGTGTACTATTTGTATCGAAGGTCTTCCTCGATATTCAATTCGACGCATTGTTGGCTCGCTTACACCAACAATCGATGCTAATTTTCCCAACGATTGCCCTGGGTCATCCGAAATTAGCGCTTGAGCCCTTTCAACAACTGGGAGTCCTCGCGAATTCTTTCGAGTGACTCTCGCTGATATACTGGATTATTTTTGTCACAACGTCATAAACGGTTAAGTATCCATACTCGAATATCCAAAGAACCGAATTATTTCCGTTGCTGATCGTCCAGCGCGAAGGCCTTCGATGATTGCGACTCTTCGATTATACTCCGCATTTGCTTTCAACATCGCGGTTATTTTGAGAATATGATTGTTTACTAGAAGTATCAGGCTTTCTTAGACGCCAACAACAACTCTGGTGGAGACACAATATAGCGGAAAATTGAAATTTGTCCGGATTTTTATGATGCACTCTGTACATCGAGCCGCGGCAGTTTTTAAAAGGCGCTGGCAATGTATAGTACTCAAGCGAGTGCGAG